TATATGCATGCTGTGATGAAGATAAGAGTACCGGGTTTATAGTGTTCCTGATATGAAGATCTAGAAACCTCTCCAGTACTTTTAGAAAAAAGGGGACAGACTATTTTTAATCCAGTTGGACTTGTCCTCAAAGCACCATTCATTAAGAGACAAGCGAGTCTCTGAAGCTTCGTGCAAACAGTAATATAACCAGCCTGTGTGACCCTTTGTCACCAAACTAGGCAACCATACGTCATGATAGGACACATTATTGCCTGATATATTCCAAAATATCATCTTTGGTTTGAGGCCCGATTTTACAGGTTAAGTTAACAAGGCCAATTCGGTAGATTTGCTTTTGGAGTAAGCGATTTGAGTTTTGTAAAGACTTTTAGACAATTCTATACGAATATAGATATCTATGAGTCTTTTCAGAGTTTTCAGGAGGAAGGATGAGAGACTAATCGGTCTATACAATTTAGCGTCATCCATGGGTCTATTACTATTTTTTGGCATAATCTCCAAGATTTTGGCTTGTACTTCCAGCATTTGCTTGCAATAAAAAGGACCTTTATTGGATTGATAAGAACGTCTATACCATTCTGTATAAGTGCCGGGAAGATACCATCACTTTCTGGAAACTTAAAGGGACTTAAAGACTTAGCGTTAATTATGAGACCAGATAGGAACCTCAATCGTCTGTCTGGTTGTTTAGAGCTTATCGTGCACCTATCCACAGATGCATCACATAAGAGTTCTAGAGCTAGTTCGAGTTCATCAATATGACTGATTGAATTCATTAAATACTAGCTAAGGACAGTCTGAAGATATTCTAGCTGATGTGCTCACGTGGAGCTGGTAAATTTTCAAGTATAATCTGACTCGGCAGTTCAAATAAATTATGTTGATAGTCAGATAAGGACACCAATTAACCACATAATTGGAGATAAATTGGTTAGAAAGACTAAGGTCAAAGACCTATCTTTTAATAGCATTAATAAAAGTGGGTTCAGAACCATTGTTCAATATGCTGATGTTATTACTACTCAAGTATTCTAAAAGGATCTGCCCTCTTCTATTTATGTTAGTACTACCCCATAAGGTGTGGTGAGCATTTCCGTCACAATTAATTATAAATTGTAAATGATTAGATTTGCAGTAACTTACCAAGTTTGCGATTGCTTCAGGTTTCTCTGCATCGCCTGGAAAATATGCCGATGCTATCACGATCTCACGTGTTCCGCACTCAAAAATGGCCGACACCAAGTCCCTTAGGATGAAATCTGGAATTGGAATACAGTTAACATTTTTGTTTACTAATATAGCAGTTCTAGGTGACTCTATGTCATCTTACTCGATTGATGCTGAAGACCTCCTATGTTCCCACTGACTGTCCTTATTTTGCTCATTTCAGTTAGGTTTTTTATAAGAGTCTTCGACTCTTCGTGACCCTCTTTCTTTACGGGATTCTCTCGGAGTCGACCTACAGATATCGCATCGAGAGCCTCTGCACTTGGAGTCACAGTAGACATTGATATTGATCGTGGGACCATGTGCCCCACTTTCTGTCTCTCCGTTCTAGTAACCTGGAGTTTTTTGTGAAACCCTTTGTGTCACAGCCTGTTGCTCTGGCTGCCTCTCCATTGTTGTGTTGCTTGCTTTCAGAAGCAGCTTAATATGGCTGAAGCGGTATGCTATTCTGCTTCCACCCTGGACTAGTGTATTCCAGGATACATCGCCGACAGCTAAGACAATGTGGCACTTCCCAAGTGCTTGCATTTAGCCTGTTCTGGGTCTGAATTGTGGCTAGGACCTTGGTGGTTTCAAAGTCAAAACTGTGCTGAAAATATCCGCCTCACCAGATGTGTCTTTGGGAATTCTAATTCCTTAGCTACTTTAACGCCTTAGTTGCAATCGGTACCGCGGTCCGGTGAGTCTGCGTGCACCTGGTACGGTAGTCGTGTCAATTGCTGGCGCCCGGAAACGAACCTCAGCTGTCTGGTTTTCAGAGTTGCGTGCGAGTGTTTGAATAGTGGTCCTGCTACCTTCAAGGAAGGGGTTTAGGTCGGAGTGCAGGTGGGGCCTGTTGTTGTGAGTGTCCGTGGGCGGGGTGCGCCTCACGGCAGGCGTCACGGCATTTTTTCCAGACCCTTTTTGCCGTTTGATCATTATAACACACCACCATGAGCCATCCCGTGCGAGGGAAACTCAATAGGAATCTCAATGAGGCCTCCGAAAGCTGTGCAGTTTGTTCCCAGTTTAAGACACATTTAGCCAAATCAAAAGGAACAAACCCTAATTTGACCCCCTTGGCCTGACTTGCTACTTGACTGACAGAAGGTCTGCTCGACCTCTGGATCGAGGTGTTCTTCTTGGGTTTCTTACTAGCTGGCGTGACTATGTTGTCAGATAGAGCTCTTTTAGCTGGCGCTCTATGGGAGTTTAGAGACCATGTCTAGGGCCACATTCCTAGAGTATCCCTGGGTCATATAAGCCTAGAATCTCCTCTTCAGTTTTACAAAATCCTTTTGGTCCTGTCAACTGATCCCTTTTATGCTGACATTGAATATGGTAACCCCCGACTGGTCAGAACAGAGGCTAACTCCATCAATGTCAATTAAGGCAGCATCAGACACATCAGTTTCTGTACTACTAGTATCAGTGTACTATGGAAAAACAACATTTTCCACAGCGTTTACGTTTTCGCAGACATGCTGCCCGGCAGCAGCAGTATTTAATGCATCATCCCCTTTTATTAGTTCATTTATTGTATTCATAGGATATCCCAAGAGTGTTAGGGAAGTATAAGGTCACCTGGAATCCGCAGTTTGCTATTAAGATCGTCACTAACTTCGCGACCAAGTTTCTACAGAAATAGATATTCCACCGTAGATTAGGGGGTTGTTCGGCTCTCAATCATACATGCATACATACCACATCATATATTCTTAATTAAGACTTAGAGCTTGAAACAAAACAGAACCAAATTTTCATAGTTTCAGTCAAACCCAGAGTGTTTTCTTTCATTCCGCCAGTTGCCGGCGGCCTCAAAGAAGCAGAGATTTTCTACGAACAACTTCAGATAGATTGACTGACGAACTTAGTGAGTAGCACCTAAATCAAAAACCCACCTACTCCCCAAGACGCTTAGATGTTAAAGTAGCCATTCGGACCACGCAGTCAGCCCACATAACTACACAGAAGAACAGCAAACTACTACATAAGACAAACGCAATACTACGTAAACCATAGACTACATGGACAACACAAACTACCTTAAACCTAAAGGTAGATTTTAGTTGTACACCTCATACTAGAAACACGATGAATATTCCAGTCATCAGACAGGTGCCAGGTGACTGTGAATATCCATTAGTATAGTCCAAATTGTACCTAATCCCCTACACCACGTCAAGGTACATACCGCGTAGAGGTGAACAGTTACTTGACAGTCAAAAATTGATGTGTTTTGTTTTTCTTATAGATTTCGTTTATTTTACAACAAACTACTGAATTTTTTTTTATATTTACATTCTTAATATAATAATTATTGAAGCCGTTAGCTTATTTGTTTTGACTAACAAAGATAAATATATTGTGCCATATTGGTTACGTGTGTACTGGTCAACATTATTACTTCACAAAGTATCGCATATTGGCGATAAAATACTTTTGATATTGTAGTTACTCCAACAAGTTACGGCTAATTTATATATAGAGTGTCAACACCTTACAGACCATTTTTTAATTGCACTGCTGACTTTTGTAGACCACTTCACTATAAAAGCATTAAATAAACGCACGTCTGTTTCAGATAAATGGGTATGAGTTCAGACAAGTAACAATTTTAGAGTTCGACTGTAATATTTTCGAAAATATTTGTGTAAACTGCACTCTCGTATTAAGTCGGTTCGTAATCAATTAAATATTTAGGTTAATGAGTTAGTGCCCGTTCATTTTACCGAAAGAATAGATAGCTCGCAGAGTATAGCTATCATGCCAAGTGAAATATTAAGGAGTATAAAGTTTAGATTAGAATATGTGCTCGGAAAAGTAAATAGATAGGCGAAGTTATAGCGGATTTAAGCAAAAATTATCGATTGTTGTGATTATGTGAATGGCGATATGTTATTATAAAACTGTTTGGAAAGTGGTTATATCCGAACCTTATTTGAAACAGTTCTTCTTCTTGTTTCATGTTAGTTTTTCATGTGTAGGGATGACAAGCGGATGTCTGAAAAATCGAATAGGGTTGTCATAATCGTAAGGTTGTTTTTACGCTATCCATGCAGGAACATGTATGTAACATGTTCAGAAAGTAAATAAGGTGTCTGGGAACTTTGAAAGGTATTTGATGATTTTGCAAATATCACGCATTTATACTCTTCACTCTAACCTACCGATATACCCGTTTCCATTAAAAGAATCATACTTCCATTCTTCCATTGTAAATATGTAAGTACTTTCTTATGGTGATAGCTACAATTTTTGGACTTCGGTACTTTAATTGCTGTTTATTTTTAAAATAAAAAGTAAACTCAAAATATGTCTTTATACATGTATCAAGCGGGGCGCTTACTTCTTAATTAATAAAAATAGTGAAGTATCACTACACCAGCTGTCTACAGTAGCTGAAAATGTCAAATTTAAAGTTCAGTTAATACATACAATGACGATTTTTAATTAAAAATATTTTTTGTATACAAAAATAATAATATGCAATAAAATTTAATTTTTTTTTTGTATTATCTCTTACATTTAATAATTTCGAATGAAAAAACTGAAAAAAGTACTAAATTATGTTAAACAAAATTATTGGCACCTTATGCAAAAATTAAAAAACAAATTTTAAAAAAATATTTACGGTTTAAAATAATTATTTAGTCAAAACAAAGAGTTTCTGGCCCAATATTTTGCCA